AAAGCTGGGGGGGGGGGGGCTCAATTGACACAAGGGATGGTTTCGGGTCAAAGAAATCATCGATTTTATCGATTTTATATTGGTGAATTAGAAGGATAGAAATCATCGATTTTATAAATTTAGCAACAAAGCGCCCAGTGGCATCAGTGGCATTGTAGTAGTACCTTTGCCCAATGACATGAGAATCCCTCTATTTATGCTCTGCATGACTTATAAGAACTAAAGTATAGGTAAAGATAAATCATTAAATGTTTGGCCCAATTATTCAAAATCAAAAGTAATCAGATTTGAGTGTGTACTGTTCATGTTGTATCTTTTTTATAGGCAAGGTGGTCCTTTGTAAATATATGGACTATTGGTATTGCATTTCTTTCTTCTTCTTCTTGCACCATCATCTTGTTTTTGTAGATCTAGCCTCCTTAAATCAAAATTTTAATTTTGAAATTTCAAACTTTCTATGTTAAAATATCCACATCGAAAATTGAATAGAAAAAGTAATTGATAATTTGCTATATAACGTCTTGAGTTGAACTAAGTAAAACTTCCTAGCTCTTTCCCAAAATAAGGCTCTTGTTCTGTTAATGACTGAAACTATTTTCAAATCAATATAAGTAAAATTAAATTGGTGTGGAATTAAAAAATAAAATTATGTATTTAAAAAATATATCAAAAGTTCTACAAAACAAGTTGGGACAAGGTTCTTTTATTTTATCAAATAGTCAATGCAAATGTATAAATAAAGTAGAGTTAGTGTGACCTGTGAATAATAACTCTGAGTCTTTTTTTGGGACGGAGGGAGTACATTGGATTCCATCATTTAATGTGATCCCTACCCAAATCTAAAATTTTATCATGGTATCAAAGTAGGTTTTACCCAACCTCATTTGTAGAAGTATTCGTCTAGATGTTCATTCTAAGTGGCCTAGTTCTTTGTGTGGAAAATGAAAAGTGGCCCTTACAACCTGATTGTTCATCTAGAAGTTGATATGTACTCAACAATTTGTAGTCCTTTAGGTGTTGGCACTTTCGATATTTTCATTTTCTTGGGAATTGAAGAGTAGTCCATTCGCAAGTAGTCAATCCATTAGATTCAAAACGGTCAAATTGTCAAATTGAGGGAGAGTATTAAAGTATCCTACATCGGAAATTAAACTAAATAATAGATTGGACCAAATCTTTTCACGTAGTTCAGCCAAAATATCTTATATGGTTCAATGAGGTGATCCATATCCCAATCCTAAAATTCTATCGTTTTAGCTTTGAATTTTAGTTTTAAATTTAAAATTTTGTTTTAGTTTAATTTTGAAAAGTATATAAAATGTTATAATATAAAAGTAATATTTAAAAACAAAAATTAAAAAAAATGGGGACGAAATGGAGATCGATGCCCCTAAAACAAAATTAAATTGAGAAAGCTGATTTGGCGCCGAGGTGGAAGTGATCGGGCATGGTGCGGATTATAGTGACCACACCGTGTGGCCTAATATCGCTTATTAGATGTAAGTCTACCCCTTCCTCCATCCTCGCCGACTATTGTAACCCTCTCACACCTCCGCACCGGAGGCACAACACTATGCCGCTTCACATGCCCAAGCTACCTCAACTTAGTTTCCCGCAACTTATATATAGGTTCCACATCCACTCGTACTCTGATAACCTCATTCTGGATCGTATCCTATATTTACCCACACATCTACCAAGGCATTTGCATCTCTGATGCATTGAAGAAAAACCTTCACATGGTGTTTATTGATCTTGAGGAAGCTTACGACAGGCTATTGAGAGAGTTTTGTGGAGGTGTCTTGAATTTAAAGGGGTTCCAATTGCCTACACTCACGTAATTAGAGATATGTATGTCAGAGCAATGACTATGGTAAAGATTATTGGGGTGACTTTGACCAATGCATTCCCTATCGAGGTGGGGTTACACTAAGAATCTACCCTTAATTTTTTCATCCTTGCTTTGGTGATGGATGTTTTGACACAAAATGTCCAGGGGTAAGTTCCGTGGTGTATGCTTTTTGCTGACAATATTGTATTGATCGACGAGACACGAGAGGGACTAGATGATAAGTTGCACTTGTGGCATCAATTCCTAGAATGGCTAATCCCAAACCAAATTGATTCTCAAAAATGCATACATTCTTTCGGAGTCTAGCCTCTATGATGTGATCCCAAACTTTCATGGTGTGGCTGAGTTTAATGTAAATGTAATTAGCACAGTTCTGAATAACATCATTAACTTGTACTATGGTATACCGCGCTATTCCTCGACTCCTCAAGCATCTTAGTCGTCCTAAAAGTAACATTGAAGAGATTGGTTAACCACACCAATCCATTACCCCCCATTGCCTTCCATAACTCCACTGGGATCTCATCCGGCTCTAGGGCTCTCTCTTCTTTCATCCCCAAAAGACCCTTACTATCTCGACATGACTAATACGGCGACAGTACCCAAAGTCTCGGTGCCTCTGTAATTGCCCAAGTTCTTCTAAACATAGTCTCTCTGTTCTAGAGCTAAAACAAAATTTTTAATTTGACTTTATAAAAATTAAGATAAATGTTGAAAGATTATTGGATTAAATGTTCTTTTTTAAGAAGAAGAAGAGTGAGAAAAATTATTTTAAAACATAGGTAGTAAATTGGGTTACATTCTCAAGTTCCCTATTTCAAAAAGAGAGGTTCTATGGTGGACTTAAGGTCTACATGAATTTTCTTACATATTTTTTTATTTTAAAAATGATTATTTAAATACTTGAAAATACTTATTTAACATTTATAAAGGTCCAACATCATGAACTTTAGGTGCATGTAATAGTTTATCTTTCAAAAAGAAAAATTAACTGGGTTTTTTTTACATCCCAAAATACATTCTACACATCCTTAATCTTTATTATTGGACTAAAAAAAACAGGGGGCAAGGTTCAAATGACATTAACCCCTCATGTCATCCTATGACATGGGCTCATTTGAGGTCCTTACGGTACTCCGTTCGAAAAATTAATTGTTCCTACCCCCTAATCCTCCGGTAAACCCCCAACTCGGCCCGACCCGAACCAATACATTCTCCTCCGTCAATTGCACCCCACAAGATGTAGTTCACTTTGGAGTCGAAATTTGACTCCAAAGTGAACTACATCTTGTGGGGTGCAATTGACGGGGGAGAACTGTTTGTTCGGGTCATCAGGCCGAGTTAGGAGGATACCAGGAGAGTTAGGGGGATAGGAACAATCAATTTATCGTTTATCTAAACAAAATAAAAGTATATATATGTATAGTTTTTACTTTCCTAATACTACAAAAACGAGATGGATAAATATCTACATGATCAAAGTCAACGAGTCAGGAATGGATAAGATAAATGACTCAAAAAAAAAGGAAGGGCATTTTCTATATAAATTTCACACCTTTATATTTAATTATTTATAGCCACATCTGGTGATTTTTTTTTTATGCCCGTACGGATTATTAATCTTCTAATTTACAACTTTAATTAAAGCCGAAAGATATTTTTTACTTAGCTTTTTAGGGTTAGGCATGCAATATTTAAGGTAAGGGAAAGTACCCCAATACCTGGAGTTGTTTTTAATAAAGATGGATATAAATTTAAATAATCATTCATCCCATAATTAATTATCTTTATATTCTTTCACTTAGATAGATTGTCAAAGAAGAATTTCTACTTTATTAGGAAATATGTTAGTCACATATAAAAGATAATTATGAAACGATGGAAGTAATAAAACTAGAAGATACTAAGGTCACACGTCACGGTTTTACTTTGGATTAACATTTCCAATTTTTTAATATTGCATATATATAAATATTAATTAATACTCGTATTAAAAATTATTGTTAAATAATTATTTTAAAACGTTGAAATTATTATGAAACGAAAATTAAAAAAAAAATATGTAAATGTGTACTGACCAAGACTGAACATAGCCATTCCAAGCCCAGCATCAGACATTATGGATATGGAGTGTGCTATTATATCTGGCATCTTCACATTCTTCCACCTACATTACATATCATTTATATAAATATATATATAAATATAAATATATATATATATATATATATATATATATATATATATATATATATATATATATATAGGGGCTGGTTCCTGTAAGAATGCACCTTGTGGAGAGAAATGAGAATGAAATCTAGCCGTTGGATATGATGCATCGTGCGGCTCAGATTGCATCCTGCGCTCAGATTTTGAGATAGTGCATTTTCAAAGGATTATGATGCATTTCGACGTGATGCATTTTCAAATCGTTTTGTTGCACCTGATTTTGATGCAATCCTGACCCTTAGATCGCACAATCTATAGCACCAGATTCATTCTCATTTCTCTCCTAAGATTGCATTCTCACCAGAACCAAAATCTATATATATATATATATATATATAGACACACACACTAATTAATTGTCCCATTGTTTTTCAAATTAGAATATCCCATTTTTGTGGTGTAGAACTGAGTTTCTTTTTTTGGTAAGATAAAGTACCTCATTACTCAATGGGATTAGCTAAACCATTTGTACTGTTATGAAATCAATAATAATAGTGATTTAAATATTCTCTAAACATTAAATAGTGGTGATTAAAGAATGACAAAGAATCCATTAACCCATCTTTATGATCAACTACTACTCTAGATTACTACTTTAATTATTATAGTATTATGCTCTCCATGTCTAAAAAGACATTACAAAATTATACTCTCTATGTTTCTAATTTGATTACAAAATGTAAATTACAAGTTAAAATTCATGATTTTTTAGATAATTTTATTTTCAAATCGGTATCAATAAGAAATAAAATTACATGTTAAAAAACTACATCAAAAGTTTTTCAAAACATACAAGAAATGACAAAAATATTTTATTTTATTAAATAATCAATATATGAAAACACGCAAACAAACAAAAGTTGTCGAGAAGTAAGAGAAAATAAAATTATAATCAAAATAGGGATGGAGAAAGTACTTTATTTTCATAGTACTATATAGTTCAAAAGAAAAAAAAATTAAAATATGAAGTTTATGGTTGACATGATTTATAGAACAAAGAAATGAAGTTAGTCACATTGGGTTTGCCATATTGTATTGACCATGGCAACTACTCTTTATATCTTAAATTATTTGGTCTAGTTTAATTTTAATACTAACTTTGATCATAAATTATGATAAAAAGTATTTTGTTATAATGTGAATTAATACAATTGAATTTGTTTGAACATGTAGTTTTGATATATTGCACTTTTTAAAATCTTATTTATTTAAAATATTATTTAATATATAGTCATCGTCATCATAAAAATCAAACCAGACAGATAACTTAGGATGAAAAGAATAAAAGTGAGAAGAATGGTAGGGTGATACCTAAAACAGATTAAGGACCAGGTAAGGCCAAGCAAGCTGGAATAAGTGTTTGGGTTTCTGATGAGTTTTCTCCACACCATTATTAGTATCAGCCTTGTCATGACACTTGTTGGGGGCATGGCCGCCGCCTTCATCTTCTTCTCATCTCCATCCTTGTTCATCTCCACGTCTCTGTTCCCGAAGCAGATGTCCTCCCTGTCCGTGAAGTTCTCCCCATTCTTGGCATGCCCATCACCTGTTTGTGGAAATGTCCCAACGGGAATCAACCGGGAATAACGGTAAAGATCGAGTGTTGATGATGGGAATTTCAAGAAATGGTTGGATTTTGATGCGATTTACCTTTTCCTGGAGCTGGAGTGGCTCTGGTATCTTTCCCAGCCTGATCTGAAACAGGGGAGGCACTTGAGCTCCAGACGAACATGTGAAGATCCCCTCTTCCTGCGTCTTCTCCTTTGATGTTTTGCTGTCCATTTGGTTTCTTGTTTGTGTTAGGAGCTGGGTATTGGGTGTTATGGTTATTGTTATTAGTGCCTTGAGCTCCATGGTAATGGAGTCTTGGTTTTCCACTCTCTTCTTCATAATTTGATGGCCTTGGAGTTGGGCCTCTGGAGGCTGATGAGATTCCATATGCTTCATTTGGCCCAAAATTTGAGCTTCTTCCACCGGCCACCATTGAGTAGAAATCTGTGTGGTTGAAACTGGACCCTCTGGGGGTTGGGTTGATTGAGGATTGGAGAGAGTAAATCTCTGCGTTGGTGAGGTTCGATGCCCTTGGGGTGTTCGATGAAATTCCCCCAAGAGACCTTTTTGAGAAGATATCTGACCTTGAGGCACTGGATTTCCTCACAGTGACATGGAGCATCCCATCCTCTTTCACCTCTGCATCAGTCTCCAATGGCTGCCTTCCATCCAGAGACATCACATCTGAGTCAACATGGATGGAGACAATGGTCCCTGCAGTGTCTGGGAACTGCTCAGAGATCAACACCCTTGCACCTCTGAACTCAAACAAGAACAGCATCAAGGTGTACCAAATGATGCACTGGAGTACAACTATCTGAACCATCAAACTCCCAGAGAAAGCACCATACATTCCTTTCAGCAAAGGGATTCCCATCACAAGTGTGTTTGGCAGAGTTGATAGAGAAAACATGGTTATACTCCACTCCAAGCTCCCACTCTTGCTCAGATTTGCCCACACAGCAACCAGAGCAAGAACAATCAGCTTCTGCAGTGTGTCTGCCAGAATGAACCTCAAGTTCATGGAATATGGATCATTGGAGGCTATGAAGTGAAAAGACAGGAGTGGGACTGCAAAAAGGGCAACAAAGCGGTTGATCCCTGAACACTGGTCTGGGGTGAAGATCTTCCACCACTTGACTGACCCATAGGCTAGTATCATAGCTACATACAGTGGAACCACTGCTGTCATGACATGATAGAAATCTGATAAAGTTATCATCTTTGATGGTTTCTTGAACTGCCCAGATCAAGAAAACACGCAATTCTTGAATCGAAGCAAAAACCGAACTTTTCTTTGTAGATATATTTTATTTCAAATGGTGGTTGGATATGGGAAGAGGAAGACAGTTTACAGAAGAGTGTGTTCTGAGTTGATATATATATGCCCAATTTTGGAGGGAGTAGTGGAGGGGCATGTGGTTCTGGTATATGAGGAGAATGCAGAATAGGGCAATATTTTCTTGTCCCTTTTGATGGAGACTAAAGCTTTGAGAGATGAGAAGAAAGCTTGCACTTGCAGTCCCCAATGCAGAAGGGGTTTGGCCTTGGAGAGGTTTTATAGACTAATTTAACATAAGATGGACAAGTTGGACTAATCAACTGTAAAAAAAAAAGTAGGTACCAGTTAAAATGAGGTGTTGTGTGCACTCTTGTAAAGATTCTAATGGCGCCAAGTCCACAGTTTGACTTTTTTTAGGTGAGAAAATTGGTAAATAATGTTTACTTAGTCATTCACCTTATATATACACACTTGTCACACTTTTAGTGGCACTATGTCGCTAGGGCACAATGTAAACTCCGGCCACCAAATGTCATTACAATTACGTGGGGTTACATTGTCCACCAATGACACGATGCCACTAGAACCGTGACAAGTATATTGTTCTAGTGATGTCATGTCACCAGCGGATGATGTAAGTGATGTAACTCTGCCCGTCAAATGTTATTAGAGTTATACCGTCCATCAATGTCGCGATGCCACTAGAATCATGACAAGTACATATAGTGTTATCATCATTAACTATATACATGTGTTTACTTTGTTCTATTTATCTTTGTTTTTAGTGTGTGTTTGGATTAGGAAGAAATTATTCTTGTTTGCTATGTTTGGGGTGTGAGGCTCACTCTGATCAATGCCTCTTTTACCTTACACAGAAAAGGGATAGTGGAATAGAAAACTGCAATAAAGCATTTTGGTTGGAGGTGGTGATGCTGTGTGTGTAAGTACCTGTTTGGGGGAAAGCTTTTTGAGTTTCTGATTCCTCTTTCTCCATTCACTTTCTTCTTGGATTCCCATTTATAATTCTTTTTTCTTTTTTAAAAAAATGAATTCTTTTGTTCCATATTTGGTTTTGTGGCACTCTTTTTGTAATTTTGATGTAAAGTCATTTGTGACATTACCAATTATCCTGAGATGAAATCCTCTGTTTTTTTTTTGTCATCTCAGTCTTGGATTCTATATATTCCATCATTAATGTCTATAATTATGTGTAGACACAAATTATAAACCACTTGGTTCTTTAGACACCAATTTTGCCTTTCATAATATGACACAAGAGTTGTGATACTCCCTTGAGCTCTAGAGTAGTTCATACTCCCTAACCCTTCTCAAACCGTCTTCCTCGTTAACCCACTAACGCTGACCACCGGCCGTCCTCAACCACCACTGCTAGCCACATGCCTCTGACAACCGCCACCACCACCCCCACCACCCTAGTATCTCATTAATTAACAACTACTACAGTTAGAGGATTTATCTAATTTTGACTTTTTATAGACAAGATTGATAAATTTTGACCATTAATTAGATACAATTTGTATTAGATATTGACACATGGAATAAATGTGTTGGATTCATCTTGTAAAATATTTTCAAAATACAATTTTATCTAATTCATATACCATAATAAGTCAAACGTCGATTCCAGTTGAGTAAAAAATTCAAAACTGAACAAATCCAATAAAAGGGAAGGGCATCATTTTAGATTTTTCCAAATATTTTCTTGTCATTCAAATTTTAGATTTGCTTCAAGTTGAGAATGAAATTAAATTGATGGAGGGGCAGGGCAGGGCAGGTGACAAACAAGCTAGAGACAACACCTCCCTAAGATGGGAGAAATTAAAAAAAAAAAAAGATTAGGCTTTGTTCCACCATTACCTTATTGTTTTTTGTTTTCTAGCAATTTATTCCTACATGCTATCATAGTATCACTTACTCCCTTCGTCCCAGAGTATTTGTCCACTTTCATTTTTACACACCATCCAATGCACTTCTTTAATCCTTTTTATCTTGTAATTTGTATATTAAAAAATTATAGAAATTATATATTAATAATCTATATGTTAAGACAAATCAAACAAGATCACACATGACTATATTTAGACTTACACCGCGAGAGAATTTGATGAGTCAAAGTGCTTAGATGAACAGTTCCAAAAGTCAAAAGTGGACAAAAACTGGGGAACGGAGGAAGTACATTTTTTGTGACACTTTAATTTGGTTCTGCATAGAAAATAATCATATGGTCATCTCAGATTTTTCTTTTTTAAATGAAAAATTGGGTTGGGATTATGTTTCACTCTGATTCAACTTCAAGATTTATGTGGGAAGTTCTAGCTGTTAATAATTTTCATCATAAGGAAGAGTCATACTTTCTCTGTCCAGAAATGTTCTTCCCATTTGACTTGATAAAATAAAGTTGTAGTTGTTTACCCATTTTTTATATTCATTTGATAAAATAATACTCCCTCCGTCAAACAATAATATTCTTGTTCACTATTCACAAGGTGAAAATTTATTCACTTTGTTGACGTATTTTCGTTATCCTTTGATAAAGTAATATAGTCATCTTACCTTTAGTTTTGTAGATCTTTTCATGTAACTTTTGAATATATAATATGTATTTTTTTAATTCCATACGATTTTTCATATAAAATGACTTGAAAATAACTTTAGTCAAACATCGTAACGCGCAATAAGAACATTATTATTAGAGAGATGGAGTATAGTCATATCACCTCTTTCTCTTTTTTGTTGAACTTTGGATGTTTTTTATATTTTTATTTTTGAAGAATTAATTAGATAATACCTAGCTAAGAGGTTTAATAAATTCCAACAACACCCTCCAGCAGGCAAGAAAACAGATTGGGCCATTAAAACCATCATTGTGTTGGCCATAACATGCATGTTAGGTACTAGAAACCTTTCATTCTTAATTTTGGTTTTTTTTATTTTCGTCCTAAAATCATATTTAGGCACATTGTGGTTGCTTTTACTTTTTCTCGTACTACAAAAGTGTGTCACAACTCAATCTGTTAGGAACGGAGGGAGTAATATTTCAAAGGATTGTCAGTTTGAATATTACTCCCTCCGTTCCTAACAGAACAAATTGTTTCGTCAAGTGGCATAGTTATGACTCCCAAATAAAAGGTCATGTGTTCGAACCTCTGTGGGGATATTGATTTTTGTTTTTCAATAAAAAGCTACGAACAATTAAAAATTGGGAGTATTCATGTCAATGCTTATATCCATTTTCATTTTGACTAAATTCACTCCTATATTATTAGATGAACAATTTTGCACTTAATGATAATTGGCTTGCATTTAAGTTCTCGCTTTTATATTTTTTAGGAATAAACTTGTTAATTTACCATAAATCAGACGAATTTAGCCAAAATGAAAGTGGATATAGCAACATACGATTCTAGAAATTAAATCAAAAAATTTTATGCTACTCATTCCGTCTTTAAAAGATTGTCACGACTTTTTTTGTTAAACTGTGACACCCTTTGACCGTGAACTAAATATAGTTTAAAATAAATAAATTTTATAAAATTTGATTTTTCTAAACTATATTTTAAAATTAATCCAAATTTACTAAATTTACATTATAATTAAATATACTTTTTCCATTTGTGATCAAAAAGTGTCACAATTTGACTAATAAAAGTCAAACTGTGGCAATCTGTTAGGAACGGAGGGAGTAATATTTCAAAGGATTGTCAGTTTGAATATTACTCCCTCCGTTCCTAACAGAACAAATTGTTTCGTCAAGTGGCATAGTTATGACTCCCAAATAAAAGGTCATGTGTTCGAACCTCTGTGGGGATATTGATTTTTGTTTTTCAATAGATTGAGAAAATATATGAATAGATCTTGCTCCCTACATTCTAAAAGTACTCAAAAAAGAATAGCTTTGTGTATTTATTTCTCTTCTCAAAAACAAAAAACATATACTAATTGTAAAGCCAAAGTCTTTACAATTTTGAATATATATATTTACAAATGCAGATGACCTGTTAGCCATATCAGCAGTATATATATATATATATATATATATATATATATATATATATATATATATATGCATGCAGAAGAAGTGAAAGAAACATGGCACTTTCTTACAAACCCTTGCAGCCAGGGAGATCTATCCATTGGAGTTGGAGCTCAACCTCGCCGCATTCCACGTTCCTCAGTCTAAGACACATGTCCTGCACCACCTTCCCATCTTTCCAGACAACACGTGATTCCTCGGCGAAACAATTTGTTCTGTTGGGTTTTAGTTTTGTGATCACTGTGTCGCTTGGGAGGCCGGCGAGGTTCATCCTCAATGCGTCTATGAATGCGCTCATGTCGAATTCTGCGTCTCCCATTTTGTCATCCTTGGTGAATGTGTCATGGTCATACACCGTCTGAAACACACACACAGACGCACATATAACACTGAGTTGTGAGAAACAATCAAATTTTACAAATTTTAATAGATTTAAAGAAACAATCAAAATTCAAAACAAATAATGCACATACAAATTAGGTTGTTTAATATTTGATACCAGGGCATGTGATAATTGGCCAAAAAGGAAAGGCATTATACTTCCACAATGTGTAAAAACTTCTGCTTTGAGGCACTAAAGACAAACTTTGCGTGGCATTGACATTGGCATATTTCATCTTATTAGTCATCATTTATCAAACAAATCCATAAAAGCAAACATAATAAAGAGCATATGCATATTGTAACATGATTAGGAAAGAATAATACATTGCTGACAATAATGCATTTAATGGGGGGAAGGTTTTAGATATAATTTACAGGAAACATTCATAGAAAATGAGGTTATGATACACTTGCTCGACTGCAAAGGCACCCGCACGGACGCACGTATGAATGTACGATGTCACATGCTTTACGAAGTTGTGCTTCTGTGCTTTCCAAAAAATGCACCAAAGGGCTAGCAGCATAAAACTTCACAAAGCATGACATGTTGGCATGGTACAAATTTGCCAATGATGGAGAAAGCCAAATTGTGAAGCTTCCTGGATCAGGATCACCATGAAGCCCAGAGAACAACAGGTAATCCTGAGCAGGTGCCCGTTTAGCAACAACTTCAATGTTTAGCTTTAGCATTTTGAAAAGACTATTTATTGGCAGCGTTAAGCTTTAACATTTTCAAAGTGTATATGTACCATTAAAAAGTTATCTAAAAGACTAACTTACACTAATTGAAAACGTTTCCAACAAAGGCTAGGCTGAGGTAGCCATTCTTTAAAAGCCTTGTATTTAATTACATCCAGATTGGCAAACAAGGGAGGTAGGCAATCACATTTGGGCCATGAAGATGCATTTGCCCATAGTTTTGTATGAGCTACAAAGGTAATATCTGATATCTATCTACCTTTATTTTGCTCGCTACTAGTCAAACAACTTCTTGTGAAACATTGCCTACCTACCTCAAAGTCTCAAACTACCAATCTCTTCTTACCTTCAATTACTTGCCTAAACTGACCTTATTCTTCCCAAGAATAACCTAAAATATCCAACTCCATCCTTTTTCAAGATTTAACAAAACAATAATCATATTTATCTTGGAAAACAGAGAAGGAAACAAAGCAGTTCTTTCAAATCTCCAATCAATTCAACATCAAAGAGCTCTTCAATTACTCAAGCCATTAATCAAGATACCTACCAGCTTAATTTTAGCATTAGGATCTGAAACAGAAAAGGTCAGGTCTTCATTCCATTCCGGATTAGTATCCTTCTTTATAACACGAGTCCTCAGCTTCTGCATCAATTATTCAAGAAAAAACTAATAGGTGTTAGAGTCCCACGTCGGAATATTAAAGAACAAAAAATTTATAAGCTCTTAAGATAACTAGTTATTGTGGTTTGACTCAAGTGCATTATAACTCAATCGAGTGACCCCAATACAATCCTCAAATCCATCATGAAATCACGATTGTCCCACTTCTCTTATATGACTATCCGTGTGAAAGTCAATCGTAGCGGCACCGATCTTTTGGCCAAACTACTCGTCTAAATATATCGCCAAATCCTCAGTTCAACCATTTAACATGACTGTCCAGTCTAGAAATCCCAAAGTCATATTATCTGAGTGTCGCCGTTGCATTTGAGTTTCAGAAAACTCCATTTACGAATTGATCTTTAGATTCAAAATGCTCCAATTATGTAGAACTAGAGTGCAGAGTCCCACATCCAAAGCCCAAACAAATAAAAAGAGAAATTTGGATTCATGTGAGTCTGATTAGCTTAGCTAGTAGATTGAGTCAGATTCTTTTGACTCAAGTGCAGGATCGTGATTTCTATCACACCGCCAAATTTTACAAATGTTTCATTTTTTTCATAATTCATACACAGAAATTGATTGAATTTTTCCATCATTTCAAGACAAACATTTGAATCGGCGGCAAGAAATTGATCGATTTCTGCAATAAAAATATGGAAATAAATGAAGAGCTAATAGTGAAATAGGAGATGATGACGATGATGAAGATGAAGATTTACCTGTTTTCCCATCTTGAGAGAAATGTAAGGATCGCTGCTGCGAACGTCGCGGACGGCGAGGTTAATGCCTCTCTTAACGCGGACTCTGAGAAGGCCTAAGAGACTGGCCATTAGAGATTTGTTGTTTTTGGAGGCGGCGGCGTCGGGTGTTCCGCCGTCGCATGGTGTCTTCGGCGACATCTCCATCGCGCCCCCCCGGCCGGAATTTTTTGATCCGATTATTTTCTGCGTTCTTATTTTGTCTTTTTTGCCAAAGAAATTAGTGGGAAAATAATAATCCTCCGTAATCAATTTACGGATGATTAGCAGAAAGAAAAATGGACTCGGTTTAGAAACCTTTTCTATGCACTTTTTTTTTTTTTGCAAAAGAGAAAAGTAATCTTTTCTCTAACTCCGCATTTTATATGAGAAAATTTGTACAAATATATAAATTTTATTTTAAAATTTTCTACCATTCCTTTTTTTGAACAATTTCTTTTCTTTTGAACACAAAAGATTTTTTTAAATATATTCAATAGAGAGAGAATACTTGAATCATCCGGCTCAATTAAATTAAACTAAAACAACAGATGATAGATAAATTGTGTAACGAAAGAATCAAATACAAGTAGTTTTTTTCTCGCCTATATTATTTGATTCAATTTCTTGTCCTTATATTTTTCTTAAATTTTTAGTTTTATACTAATACAATTATATTACACAAGAGAGGTGAAGTAATTGAAGGACTTTTATATTGTGCCAAAAATATTATAACTACAAATAATTTAGCGTACTATTGTAGTCTAAAAAATACAACAGTATATTATATCTATTCACATTATATTTATTCATTATTAGTCTATCTATCAAATTCTACTATTGCTCATAATATCTAAGAATATTTTTAAAAATTCAACACTAAAATATACTTCTTTTAAGTCTATTAAAAATCAAAATTTACCATGTTTTCAGGAGTGGGGGAAGTACTTATTTTTAAATCAGCTTTTCATTTTCCATTTTAACCAAATTACGGAGTATTTACAAAAAGAGTCTCTTACCTTTCGTGAATATTTCCAAATGAATTATCCTCCACTTAAATCATTTTACTTACAAAAAAATATTTAATTTATAAAATATGTATAAATTAAAAATTCCTTATCAATAATAAATCAATAAACATTCTCAACAAAACACTTGTTTGAGACTTTGAGTTGTTTCATGTCATCCTTATTCTTTCCCATATAAGCTACGGCGCCCCATTAAAACGCTCTCTCAAAATGATACTTTCTGTTTCAACCAAATCCCTCCCTCCAAAAATATAGCGATGGAGGAGGAGCCATGGGAGGCCCTCGAAGTCGACGATTCCGATCTCCGTTTTCTCCTCCAGCCCTGCAAGCGCCGCTGTCCCGACAACCGGAACCCTAATTCCGCCACCTCCACTTCTTCTCATCCTTCCCTTGAAGCCACTCAAATCTTGGGAGACGGAGAACAGCTCTCTCTCCCGCAACCCGAGTCCGCTCATCTCCCGTCGCCGCCGCCGAATCGCATCCCCGGTCCGGCCTCGCTCGTACAGTCCGCGATGCACCAGCGAGATTTAGACCGTCGGAATCTCGATCCCTGTTTGTCTCAGGGCGGGAGTCCTGTTCCTACTCAGGATTATGTTAGGAAGGCAGTTGAGGATTCTTCCGAATTCGATCATGATTTCAAATCCGACGCCTGGACATGCGCTCTTCAGTTTATCCGTATGAATTTTCTATACACTTACATAGAGAAAAAACAATGATTGAATACCTACTGTTGGTCTTCATGAAAACAGGATTGTGTTTAATTTAATGCTCCATCTGCTTGATGCAGGTGAAGTGTCTGGAATCACAACTTTGAAGGCTATCACAAAATGTCGGTCTAAAGTGAAGAAGGTATAGCCATTGTTGTCCACTTGCTCACATCAGTATCATTTGCAGCTTGAAATGAGGGAAAAAACAATGAAGAAATAAAATTAGACTTACTTTGAACAGTGATGTTGCTAGAGGCAATCAATTAGAGGGATCATATAGCGATAATGATCGAGGAGGTTTACTATGCGAAATGAGATCCATTTCACTCAGAACTGAGGGCTTTATTTTAGTTGTGTGTAAATTTTGCTGTCTGGTTTTAAACTTTTGGTTTAAATTGAAATGAAAAAGTTGTACATGAGTAGTTTCCACCATTCCTCAAGACTTTAACTGTGTGGGTTTTAGGTTGTGGCCGTAATAAAGTCATCCAAACCAAACGGACTTGGTGGTCTCATGGTAACTCTGAAGGTATAAGAAACGTCATTCTTGATTGTCATGTTGTTAGAACTCTGGGGTATAGGGTTGTTACTGATCTCTGTAGCTCCGAATTGTAGGATCCTACAGGTACCATTGTTGCTAGCATTCATCCAAAAGTTCTTACTGAGGGAATACATGGGAAGAACATAGATGTTGGCAGTGTCGTGGTACTAAAGGAGGTATTTGTTTCCTTGACTCATTGGCACTAATTTGGCATTATCTAACATAATATACGGAGTAGTAAATTTGTTTCTATTCAGATATGAATTTTCTTTTCCCCACTTTTTTACTTCGTCTTGACAATGCTCTTATTCCAGGTCACTATATTTGCCCCTTCAAGGTCAGCAGTTTATCTTAATATAACCCTCAGAAATTTGGAAAAGGTGCTCTCTCTATTCTTAGGTAACGTTTGGTAAGCCGTGAGGCAATACAATGCAGTGTGATCAAATACGCTCGTATATGTTTAGTGTAAATTTACATTACACTCATTTGGTTGCATTACATTGGTCATGTCTTACCAAACTACACTGTTCCTTAAGATACCAGAGCATTAATATTCTCAGGCATATGCATGAAGTGATATGTTCTGTTGTGAGATTTCTCCATTTGACCTCATTGTGGTAAGATCTGAGATGGTTCTCTTTCCAATTCCAGGTATTCTGCAAGGATAATAGTGATTGTCTACCAACAAATGCTGCGAAAATTGTCAGTTCAGGTATTGGTGGGTGGTTTCATTTATTGGCACATTCTATGTAATACGGAGTAGTATTATATTTTAGAGTATGCTTTGATCTGATTTTTTTTTTTGGGGGGGGGGGATGCTAAGTAAAGTCATTTTCTTGAGCTCAGGGTTTGTTCTCTTCAACTTATCTGATTGGTTCTGATATGATTTGATTAAGTTCTACNATAATAGTGATTGTCTACCAACAAATGCTGCGAAAATTGTCAGTTCAGGTATTGGTGGGTGGTTTCATTTATTGGCACATTCTATGTAATACGGAGTAGTATTATATTTTAGAGTATGCTTTGATCTGATTTTTTTTTTTGGGGGGGGGGGATGCTAAGTAAAGTCATTTTCTTGAGCTCAGGGTTTGTTCTCTTCAACTTATCTGATTGGTTCTGATATGATTTGATTAAGTTCTACTAGTTATATTTAAAGTTGTTCATGATGTGAGACAGTGGTGAGTTGGGACTTTTGCCATGGTCATTTCTAAACTGTATTTTCCACCCTATATTATTTCCCAAGCTTTTTGGAGTTTCAAACGGACCCTTAAGAATATTCCTGTAAGAAATATCATGATCAGATTATTATTACTATTATTCTGAAAGAACATTTTCATTGCAGATAAAGAAATGACAGACGAAAGAGCAGGTGTGGGAGAAACGGATATTGAAATGGAGAAGGAAAACTCGCTTCCGTGTAACTACACACAACCAAGCATGAGACATGCTGTTGTTGCAGAGAAAGAGGCTTTAAATTCCAGTGAATGCCCCGTGAAGAAAGTTGGAGAAATAATAAAAATGGCGACCAGTCTCCATAAACAGCCTGGAGGAGTCTCTAGAACTACACAAACCTTACCCAAGAGCCAAACAAGTCACGAAGAATCTCATAAAACTGGTGAAGTTCTTCGCCAAACGCAGTCTGCTGTTCCAAAGGCTCCACTTGTAGAGTGGACAGATGAACAGCTAAGCCAACTTTTTGCTGGCGATGGTTTGGAAGATCTCCGTGCCTGCAAAAACCGCACTGGTCAGCAAGAATGCAAAGAAACCGAGGAAGTTCTCGGCAAATCTCAACCATTGATCTCAAAGACTTCTTTCCCAGAATGGACTGATGAACAACTCTATGAACTTTTTGCTGGGGAAGAAATGGAGGGGTAACATCTCATTTTGATTTCTCTTCAATGTCATATACTGATATACATCTACACAAACACACACACTATGCATAGTTGGAACTAGGGAAGGAAGGTGGGGCTTATGAATGTCTCTTTTTTTTGTAAATTCTGCTGCTGTTATCTTGTGAAAGGTTATGGCAATTTTTTTGAGGGTTCAAACAGTTGGCTCTTATTAAGTGATGTTTAAACTAAAGTTGTACATAAGTATTAAAATTTTTGCTGATATTAATGACGTTGTGAATATGAAATGGTCCTTGATTGCATATTATTACCTCTAGTTCAGTGTATTCGTCATGTCATCACGATTAATTAAATATAGATTGATGGCATATTAGTACAAAAATATTTTCATTAGATTTATCATGCAATATGCTTTCAAATAATTAATTCTCCGTATGTTGTATTGAACATAATTTTATAATGGGTGGGGTTCCCATGACATTGGGTTTCAATGTCATGGGAACCTTGGTGTTTTATACTCCCTCCGTCCGGGAATGATAGTCCCATTGTACGTTTTTCTCCGTCCGAGAATGATGTTCCCATTGTACGCTTTTTCCTATATTCTCCCTAAAATACCCCTCTCATTTAATATCCTCACATTCACTCCTCCTATCTACCCAACCGCCCACCTCCCCAATTAAACTCTCTCGCCCCTCTTTAGATCTAATCTACTCCCTCTCTCTGTCGGTTCTTCTTCTCTCCCAATCCCTAGATTACAATCGCTCCTCTCCCAGATCTATACATCTCCGCCTGAAATCATGGAATCTGATTACTTTCTTTACGATCCCTGAGACGGAATTTCAGGACATTGGAGTTGAGGACGAGGTGATTCACCTATCTTCCACCTCTGACGCGAAGAAGGAGGACGAGGTCATCGTCATCCTCAGCGATGACGATGATGCCGATGTTGCCCCGGTCAGAGATATGAACGCGGTTATCGTCCTTGACTCTGATGAAGATTCACTGTTTGGGAGCGAGGAAGATGGCAGTTTTGAGGATGTAGAGGGGTCTGAATTTCTTGAGAATCAGACTTCTCCATCCATGAACTCATGCATGCATCTCCACATCGATCTGCTGAACATATTAATGCCCACCCCGGATCCTAACTTTTGGGCATCACAGTACAAGTAGGGAAGTTCCTTTCCTTTCACTCTAATTCTTTCTGATT